GTGTAGGAAAGGGGAGGGTGTGAATGCACCGCAGAACTGCAAACACTTGGCCGACTTGTATCTCGAGTTGTTGAGAGATGCCTCAGTAAGTACTGTCTCTCATACCTCAAACCTCTTCGCTCACACCCATTCATCTCTACACGTTATTAAATACTATATTTCATGATATTAATATATGTCCCCTTAACAGGTCAAGGGATATAAACAGGTCGATGTTCGCAAAAAGGCTTAGGCCTCTGCATTAGGAGATATGCAAACGAGCGGTCAATAAGATATGTTGCCACTATGGTCTTATACCGTTCAAACTCTGAGACTTGAGGATGCGAATAAACCCTTTGGTGTATTATTAAGGAGATACCTTGGCATCCTTCTCCATTAGCCTCCTGTGATACTGTCAACATACGTCAATCTATCAGAGTTGAAATTGACCCACCGCCTTGCTGCCAAAATCATTGCCTCTTTGCGCTTCTGTAAGGACTCTTGTCTCTTCTCCGCCGTAGCTTCCCAAACTGCAGGTCCTGTAGGGTCCTCTGTAGCTTTTCCTTTTCCCTTAGCAGCATATGGTATCGGACCGGTACCAGTCCACCCTTCCGGCTCGTTGGACTTCGGGGTATCGTTGGTAATTTTGGTTTGTAGATGGAAACGCTGAATCAATGTTGGTGCTTTGGCAGGAGTAGACTTGCTTGCTGGATTCGTTGATGCTGAAACTGGGGCATTATCTGAGTCAGTTTGTGGGAAGGCCCGTCGATAGGCTGGTGGTGGCTAATGGATGATAGCCATTCGTTCAGCAGGCACGAACGGTGGATGGAGTGAGCAGATTATAATTTTAGCAAGTTTACTACGTACTGCATCAAGATATCCTCTTTCCATCGCCCGGTGGACAGTAGCTTCTACAGAGCCGGTTCTTAGTAAATCGTAGTGTATATTTGCTCTATAGCCATTGATGAATCCGGTGCCAACCCCGCCACCAACGCATTCGGAAGGAGAGTCGAGTTATAATGTGCCGGTATCCCTGCCTTTGGCCCCAACCTTTGCAGTTCCAACTCCTAAAGCAGGTCCAGATAGCAACTCTAGTAGTAACACACGAAAGCCGGATACCATACTAATTTACCCAAATAATATCATCCCCGTAGATGATATTGCTACTCCCACGATGGGTTCCAAATCTTTGGCCCAGCCAGCTAGTACGAATACCAATCCAATTCACATTACCAATCCTACGCTACAACCACCCTCCGGATTCTCGATGATATCCTCAGAAGAGGAAGTAAAAATCATTTCCAACTCAAATCACGGCCAACAAGTCCTTGAGACAATATCATCTGCAGCCAATAAGGACCAGTTGCAGAATACTATACAAGTCGGCATACATACACCCTACACTCCAACCGCCTCAGAGAGTCCTGTTATCGTATCTAATGCAGTTGCATCGACTTCAGGGTCGAGCGGAAGCACAGCTCCAACAAATTTATCAACTACTAGGAACATCCTGCCACTGCCAAAGCCCCGAAACGGGGGAATATTCAGGAAAGAACCCAATGACGTACAGAAGACTTCTGGGGCATCTTCAACTATTACAGCTCCTACAACGTCTGATCCTCTCTTACGCTCTCGGGCGAGGATTGGCCCATCACCTCTATCGCAATCAGTGACTGCCCAAGACGATCAAGCAAAAACGGAAGAAGAAGATTATAATGATTTAATGAGGGAGATGAAGGAAAAAGCAGCTCTCCGAGCACTGAATCGCTCCCAAGTAAACGTCATCGAACAACACCTTTGATTGGATGCGCACCGGTTACCCATCAATAGTAATAAAATTGGCCTAGCGTAACCACCTCCGTAAGTGTCTCGATAGTCAAGTCATCCCATAATCTGATATATTATTAAAGGCTCCTTTCACACCGTTGTTCCATAGCCGAAGCCATTGTCTCATGGAAGCATGCACCGGTCGTATGAGTACGATAGTACGCCGTACGGTCACCTCCGTAAGCACAAATCA